TTGGTTTGGGCCTGTGGTGGCCTGTGGTTGGAAATATAGGCCCACACTGGAACACCAAAATGTTGTTTGTTTTTGCTCCTTAGGAATTTTTTCTTTGCTCTTTTGGGGGACCCACCACCCAGCTCCCAAATAAATCACACACGGAGGCTTATTCTTAATGATAAAGGCCAGCCTTAGCTTGGCTTGTTTCTTGCCAGCTTTTCTTAACTTTGAATTATCCCATCTACCTTTTTGCCTCTGGGCTTTTTCCTTTTCTTACTTCTGTATTTCTTACTTTCATTCTTACTCTGTGGTGGCTGGCTGTGTGGCTGGCCCCTAGCGTCCTCCTCTCCTTGTTCTCTTGCTCCTTCTTCTCCTTCCAGATTTCTTCTTCTTATTCTCCCTGCCTGCCAGCCCCACCTAGACTTTCTTCTGCCTTAACAGTGGCTGTTCAGCACTGTTTATTAGACCATCAGGTGTTTTAGACAAGTTAAACAAATGCAACATAAACAAAAGTAACACAGCTTAAAATAATATTCTACAACAATGGCCCTGTGTATCATTGGGCCCATGGTGGAAGAATATTGTTTTCAAGGGCATGACTCCAAATGACCTAATTTGCTTCTATGGGGCTCCACTTCTTACAAGTTCTCCATTTAGCATCTCGGGGAGGACTATGCCTTTAGACCACGGGTCTTTAGACCATGGGTCTTCAGAGGCAATTCTAAGACCTGCACAAGAAAGCAAGTGTTAGGATTACTGGTACTCCTCAGCAACTCACACCTCACAGCATGCCCACCCAGGGTGGAAGGAAAAGACATGTGTGAGATGTGTCTGACTGCTCATTTCCCACTGGCTCTGTCATCCCTGGGTTCTTAGAGCCTGAAACAGAGCCAGGCTTTCCCAAGGAAGCCTGCAACTGTGCATTTACATAATTTCTAAACTTTATTTTAAAAAATGAAAATCCCTCATTAAAATGTCAGCTCTATTCTCCACTTTGTAGGTTGCCTCGTGGTAATATATTGGTTGAATCGAGGGCAATATTGCACCACAGACATTCTGGTTCGGTGACTTTAAAGTGTCAGTTTATGTGGAGAATTCACATAAAACATAAATCCACGGCCCCCACCTGCCACCAGTATTTCAGGAATGTGGGGATCAGCTCTCATGAACATGTGTGCTCTTCACTCTTCGTGTGCTTTCCAGGAGATCTAGCTAACAGAGCTGGGGCTGAGAACACAGCTTTAACTCGGACAGATGGTAAAGGCATTCCCTCTTGTGGGCCACCTGTCATCAGTGGGTAGTGAATCCAGGAAAAGTGTGTTAAGAGGGACTCTGAAGCCAAATCCAACCAGCAGTGCATTGTGGCATTATTGATCAGGGCTATCTGTTGTGGGTGAAGCATGGGATAGGAGTGTAGGTGGCATGGATTTGCCGTGGACAAATTTGTGTCTAACTCGATCAGTGGTTCATGTTTGACTGGCTGGTCTTTCTCAGTGTGTGCCTAGGGCATTGCCATGTAGAATAGAAGCTTGACCTGTGACTGCTGGGGAGGCTATGAGATGAGGATTTTTAGTCCAGTGAGTGTGGAAGGGAAGAGAGAAATGAGGTGAGCGATTTAGGCTTCGAAGTAGAGTATGGAAAGCATTTGAGGCCACACAGCCCCCAAGTGTTGCTGGCATCTCACACATTCGGTGGCAATCTCTTTACTTCACCTAAAGCCATTTCAAGATGTCACAGCGGCCACCAGCACCTTCCTTAAAGTACAGGTCAAGCTACTGGAAGCCACAGAGGCTCAGCAGGACCCAAGCTTGGGAATGGATTTTTTGCTATTTGTGAGTGCTTCAAATGACAGCCACCTGTGGAGCATCCTGTAGGAGAGTTACCACACGGAAGTGTCTGATTGATTGGTGTCCATTCGGGGGTCTTGTATATCAACAGACTGGCTTCCTGTTCTCGGGGGTGCATTTGCCTGAATAGGGCAAGTCCTCCACATGCTCCCTAGGTGTGCTGTAGCTTCTCGAGATCTGCCAGGAAGCCACAGAGAAGGAACACCTGCCATAGCATCACAGACTTGAAGGATCTGGAGCAGGACAGAACTCCAGGCCGGAGCGGCGCAGAAGGAAGACCTTTCTGCTGATGCTGTGTGAATGGAAACCACCACTTGGTTCCCTGGATAATTCTTAGAATTCACTTTTTAATTCCATTTAAAATATTGCCTCCTTGCACAGTATAATGATTGATCATCCTTGTGATCTTGACTGGGTATGTCTCTGAAGGTTTTTCCAGAGTGGTATCTAATTGAGAAGGGGAGAGGCCCAGCCTGGATGCGGGCCACACTAATCCCATGGACTGTGGTTCTAAATTGAATACAGTGGAGGAAAGGAGAAGGTCAGTAGAGTGGCAGCCTTCCCCTTTCCCTACCTCCTGGATTGCTGAGAAGTGAGTGAGATTCCCCAAGTTCCTGGAGTCACAACTGACCATGCTTCCCCATCATGATGGACTGTGCCTCTTCAAACTGTGAGCCAAAATAACCCTTTCATCCTTTCAGTTGTTCCTTGTCAAGAATTTACTCATGGCAATGGGGAAAGTAATTAATACACGTTGTATATTGTATTAATACACATAGCAAGATTAGGTGCCCCACCTGGGCCAGAGTAGTAACAATGGAGGCTGTACATTCTAGTTTTATGTCAACTTGACACAAGCTAGAATCATCAGAAAGGAGGAGTCTCAATTGAGAAAATGCTTCCATAAAGTATGGCTGTGATAGGGGACAGCCCAGCCCATTATAGGTGGGGAGGCTATGAGATGGGCTGATGGTCCTGGATTCTATAAGAAAGCAGACTGAGCAAGCCATGAGGAGCAACCTAGGAAGCAGCACTCCTCCATGGCCTCTGCATCAGCTCCTGCCTCCAGGTTCCTGCCCTGTTTGAGTTCCTGTCCTGACTTCCTTTGATGAACTGTGATGTGGAAGTGTTAGTCAAATAAACCCTTTCATCCCAGAGTTGCTTTGGTCATGGTGTTTCATTACAAAATTGGTCCTGGGATAGTGGGGTATTGCTGTGACAGCCCTGGCCATGCTGTTTTGGGGAAGATTATGGAAGGACTTTAGAATTTTGGGCTAGAAAATCCCTTGAGTGTTGATAGGCCAGTGAGTGATTCTGTAGGATCTTGGAAGATTGAGAGTAGTACAGACAATGGAGGCCTGGCTTGTGACATTTCAGAGGGAAGCAAAATTTTCACCAGGGCTTTCTGTGTGATGAATCCATGGTGTATGGTCAGCTGAAGCTGAAGAATCATCTATGATTAACAAGAGAGCAGGACCACTGAAGTGAAACCTTTGCCTTACTGGGACAGTTGATGCTGGTTACCTAAAGCTGAAAAATTAGCAGTGATTAAGAAGAGACCAGCATCACTGAGGTGATGTCTTCTGGGAAGTGTTTCCTCAGAGTCAGCACACAGAAGCTGTGTTCCAGAGGTGGCCAAGATAGTACTTTTCACTGGCAGATGAACTTGGTAGTGTAAGAGTCACCCATGTGGTACTGGTTTTGAAGGCATTAAGGGGTCATGGAGAGCAGCTGAGGCTTGGCACTGTGAGAGGCCAGGTGAGGCCATTGGTTAAAGGTGTAGGTCTCAGTAGCATTTGAAGGCCCAGCATTGAAAGGGTCATGCAGAGAAGTTGAGGTTATAAGAGGCTATTGGTGAAAGTGCAGCCTAGTTGCAATGGAAGACCCCAGCATTTTGTAGATGCCAGTACCATGAGATGACCACCAAGAATAGCAGCAGTGGCAAGGGGAGCCTGTCTGATCCTAGAAGTCAAGCTGTGTGTGCTGCAGAGGGTAGAGTTGGAGAGGTGACCCAAGCCCATTGGAGGAGTCCAGAAGGTTGTGAAGGTTGTGAGTGAATACCAGACATTGGACATTTTTTTTTTTAATTCAGTAGGCGTTTGGTTTTGCTTTGTTCGGACTGTGACTGTGCCCTGGTTCTTCCCTCTTGAAGTGAGAAGGTATTTAATTTAATTATGATTTTTGCAGAGTCCACAGCTGACAGACTTTGAACTTTTAGAAGAGATTTTAGATTTTTAAAGAGAATGGTTATTTTAAGGAGATTGAAGTTTTAATGTGTTTGAATTTGTAAGGACTGGAACTTTTAAAGTTATGTTTTATACTGTGATGTTAATATTAATGTGCCATCTTGAGGATAGATGAGAAAAGAATGGTTCTAAGTGAAAAGTGATGTGTTTGTGTGTCAAATTGACAAGGGGTCAGATGTGCTGACTAGTTTTATGTCAACTTGACACAACCTAGAGTCATCAGAAAGGAGGGAACCTCAATTGAGAAAATGCCTTTGTAAGATCAGGCTGCAGGCAAACCTGTAGGTCATTTTCTTAATTAGTGATTGATGGGGGAGGGCCCAGCCCATTGCGGGTGGTGCCATCCCTGGGATGGTGGTCCTGAGTTCTATAAGAAAGCAGGCTGAGCAAGCAATAGGGAGCAAGCCAGTAAGCAGCATTCCTCCATGGCCTCTACATCAGCTCCTGCCTCCAGGTTCCTGTTCTGACTTCCTTTGATGAGGAACTGTGATGTGGAAGTGTAAGTTGAGTAAACCCTTTCATCTGAAAATTGCTTTGGTCATGGTGTTTCATCACAGCAATAGTAACCCTAACTAAGTCAGAGGCATAGTGGTGAGTTTGAAGTCTCATCATCAGTCAGTAACCAGGTGTCCTTATCCCCAAAGACAGAACAAAAACTTGAACTTTTACCCATTTGATAATTAAAGTGGTATGATATCAGTGTGGCATGCACAGTGCCTGCTGAGGCAGAAGATGGAGTAAGTCCCTAAATCTCACTGAATAGGAGGGAAAATGTTTAAGATACAATTGAAAGTCACCCATCCTATCAAGGACCAGGATATTCTCAACCGGAACAAGAAAATTGACTGAAATCAACACCCAGATAGTACAGACACTGGAATTATCTGAGGAGTTTGAAACAGCTACCAAGACAGTGTGTTAGGGAGTCCTCCTCATGTCCACCACAGGCTTTGTTCTTATGCTGACTGTGGATTTGAAAGGAGACAGAGCAATCCTGCCCCCATTCACCTAAGCCCAGGCCATTGTGCCTAGTCTGTATTGTGAGTGGGGATCCATGGATTGGGAAAGAAGAAGAGAACGCTCGCTTCACTGAGCAATGAAGATCAAGCTGGGGAAAAAATGGATGAAAAGGTTTCATCAAATGAACAGAAAGTCTCAGGAGAAAAACAATGGAAGTAGAAAGAAGAATCAAATGCAAGTGTGAGAGCTGAGTATCTGGGATTTTCAGATGGATACACTCAACAGCAGAATGGAAAGAAGAAAGCATCAGTGAACTTGGGGACAGGGCAGGAGAAACGACTGAATCCGGACAATAGAGTGAAAAGAGCCCAGAGGAGGAAGCAGAGCTCAAAGGTGCCCCATAAGAGGCCACGTCACATCCATAGAAGAACAGGAAAAGAGAAAGAAGGTATTTCAAATGCCTGAGACTCTCTCATAATTTTCAAGTTATGGCCATCATGATGAAGAAGCTGAGCAACACCACACAGTGTGGTCTCATAGAGATCATGTAAGACACTCATCACCAGACTTTGAACACCAAAGACTCTTAGAAAGATCCAGACAGAAAAGCTTATCTTACCCCCAAACAATTTGAATGACAGCCAGTTTTTTTTCTTTTTTTTTTTTTTAAATCGGGAGCCATGGGCCCCAAGGATAAATGTACAGTACTTTTCAAGTGGCTCAAGGAGAGATTTATCAACTTAGAAATCTGTGTCCAGTGAAAATATCCTTTATGAAGAAGAGAGGAGTGGGGATGTTTTAAGATGAAGGAGAGCTAAGAGTCTTTGTCACCAGTAGACCTATCCTAAAAGAGTAGCTGAAAAGAATTCTCCAAAGCAGAAAGAGAACATCAAAGGCATATTAGAATTTTATGAGAAGGAAGAAAGAAGAATAAAATGTGAGTAACATAAAAGTCTTCTTATTGAATCTAATTTCCTCATAATGTCTGGTGGTTGAAGCAAAAAACATAGTCGATTGTGGTTTTCAGTGTATGTAGAAGAAATATTTAATATAAGTAGGTGAGTTTGGAAATGGGACTTGAGAGGAGTATTATTTCTTCATGACTCTTGAACTGATGAATGTCAATACCAGGTGACTATGAGAAGTGATTTGGGCAAATGTGATATTTAAAGCAATCATCAAGAAACCTACACAAAGAGATACCCTGGTCATTACTACAGATGTCCCACACTGGATTAGGGGATGTTCAGGTAATTCAGAGTTCTAGGAAGAAAACAGAAATAAGAAACAAAGAACAAGCAGAAACAAAAAGGCAGAGTTAAGCCCCAGCTGATCAGTAATTACATTAAATGTAAATGCTCTAAATGAAACAATTCAGAGACTGACAATTTAAAAAGAATACAACTGTTTATTGAGAGCAAGATCTTAATTCAGCTGTAACATAGGTAAGTTGGAAGTAAATGGATGATAATAATATAATGTGAATCAAAAGAAAGTGTGGTGGTATTGTGTTCCCCAAAATATTGTGTACTCTAATAAATTTATCTGGGGTTAGAGAACAGACAGCCACTAGATACAAAGGCTAGAAAATGGTGGCACTCACACCTTTAATCCTAGCATTCCAGAGGTAGAAATCCCTCTGGATCTCTGTGAGTTC